CGAATCACACTTGGTGGAGAAGATTTGGAAAATGTAACAATCATTACATATCTGGGCTGCATCATTGATGAATACGGTGGATTTGATGCAAATGTGAAGGTGTGGATCGGCAAAGCAAAAGTAGCATATCTACTAGTGCATAACATCTGAAACTCAAAACATCTGTCTTTTAACTAACATTAAAGTTAGAATTTTCAATATAAATGTGAAGACAGTTCTACTGTGATTTAGATGGTTCGGACGGATAGCTCGGATAGCTCAGTGGTAATGTCTCTGACTGTGAAGCTGGGTGACACGAGATCGAATCCGCCAGGGAGCATCAGTTCCCTCAAAATTACAGGTACACCTTGCTGACGAGTGCCAAGTAGCAGGAAACCTGGGTCAAGGGTTTCCTGTTGACTACCTCCAACCACCATCTAAATCTCAATACACAGTGCCCGCAGTGTCGAGTCACCTAGACTGGTGGCCACATTGCAACATGATCGATAGCATTCGATCTGCACTAATAAGGACTAGACAAGCACGACATTGATCACCACCCAGTGATCAATCAATTGTGACAGTTCTACTGTATTGGGTGGAAACTTGCAGAAATACGAAAGTCACTATCCAAAAGATACAAGTGTTTATTAACAGTTGTCTACGCAAAATACTTCGGATCCGTTGGTCAGACAATATCAGCAACAACTTACTGTAGGAGAGAATAAGTCAGATTGCAGTGGAGGAAGAAATCGGGAAGAAGAGTTGTCAGTGGATAGGATACACATTGAGGAGAGCACCCAACTTTGTCACATGGCAATCCCTCACGTGGAATCGTTAAGGTTGAATAAAGGAGAAGTGGGAAATCAAAGAACACATTACGCTGAGAAATGGAGATAGACATGAAAAGAATGAACAAGAATTGGATAGAACTGGAAAGGGAGGCCCAGGACAGAATAGACTGGAGAATATTGATGGGCAACAAGCGTAAGTAAGTAAGTAACTTATAAATAATATAATAAATTTATTGAGTGGTAAAACATTATAAGGATTATGTTCTTTTTTAGTTATTAGTAATTGAAATCTACTCCCATTCAATTATTATGAAACTTGAGAACAAAGGCTTTGGACGGAGAGGGACGGCTTGTTTCGATGAATTCCTTTTTATCGTCTGATCATGTGCTCACTAGCAACTAGTTTCGTTAGGGGATTCTCGGAGGTCTAATGAGAAGCCGTGACCAGTGGAGTTAATCCGTGTCGGGTAGAGACAGGTATCTACCTCGGTACAATGGAATATGGTCACGAAATTTCGTGGATTGATTGAGGTTAGACATCCTGTCCTGGGCAATCCTTTCCAGCTCTTTCCAGTTGTTATTCATCCTTTTCATACATGCTTCTATTTCTCAACGTAATGTGTTCTTTGGTCTTCCTCTTTCCCATTTCCACTCAAAATTTCAAGTTAGCACTTGTCTCGTGATGCAGTTTGGTGATTTCCGTAATGTCCTATCCATTTCCAGCATCTTTTTCTAATTTCCTCTTCAGCTGAAAGTTGCTTTGTTCTCTCCCACAGTGGTCTGTTGCTGATGGTATCCGGCCACTGGATGATGAGTGTCTTGCGTAGACAACTATTTATAAATACTTTTACCTTCATCTGTAGCTCTTCTAGAGTTACTGCCGGTCCCAGACCCAGGTAAAGGAGGAGGGTTTGGCGTGGGGTCGGCAACCCAATCCCGTAGAAAAAAATCTTGCTAAAAGACGCCAACCAGATTAAACAAATTAATGGGAGAGAAGAAACCACATTTCAAACGAAGAAGAAATTCGGAAAAGATGATAGAGGTGGGTAAGATATATACTGAGGAAATCATCATACTGCATCACGAAGCAAGCACTATCTTGGAATCTTGAAGGGAAATGAAAAATAGAAAGATTAAAGGACATACAGGATCTGGATTTAAAAACAGACGTCAAAATAATGATTAGCAACTGGAAACAAGTGGAAAGGACTGTCGAGGACAGTGTTTCATGAAGAATACTGGTAGGTAGCCTATGTTAATCCATCAGTGGCAACAGGCGAAAGTAAATATGATGATCAAACCATTTTATTTAATTTCTGTGTATTAGACATTAAAATAGTGATATTTTAATAATGTAACTTGGATACTACTTCCAAATGGTGATCACCTGGTAATGTATCATCAATGAAAAGCTATATTACTTTGCGGATTCTTCCTAGACATAACAGAAGTTCAGTTTAATTTTGGTAACAATACAGTCTTCTTAGCCGTTTTTAAACTAATTAAGTTTTTTTTTCACGACAGAAAAAATGATACATCTATAGCTGATCAAGATCATGAACCGAGTGATGTTAGACCACCACTGAAAACCTGGAACTACTGGGTGTCCGTTTCGACCTATTGCGTGACTCATCAGAAGTGCGCACCCGCGATGCAGCCCGCGTGTTTCGAGCCCAAGACCTTCGGTCTCACACGTGGTCGCCTAACCAACGTAGTAGACCTCATTGAAGACATCGAAACTTGCATTCGGTTAAAATAAAGAGTTTCGTATTGTAGTTCATTTGATTAAGAGGTTTATGAAATAATCAAGTTAAACCAGTAAATCTGTCAACTACTCTGAAAAAAGCCTTAAGTGATAGATGTATATATAATGATTCAATTACACATTTGATATTTAGTCTAAGTCTGTTAGGATGATACGATAATGCCTACTAGTTAGTGATTGAGTAGTACAAATCTTTATGCCCTTCACAAGACTGTTCACAGATTAAACAAGTGTCAATGAACTACTGGGTGCAAATATTTTTTACTAACAAAAATCAACTCGTACCAATTCTGCATTTCATGGTTTCTTATTGATCACCTTCTAACATTTAACGTGGAAATATTATACACTAAAATTATGCTTCGTTCAAAACAATGAACGATAGCCATTACAAATTTCCAGTATGGTGTTATGAAGATTGTTGAGTTTTTGATTGATATCGTGAATCGGTCGATGTTAGAACACTATTGAAAACTTGGAATCATTGAACGGCTGTTTCGTTCTAGTATGGAACACCTTAGTAGTGCGCATCCACGATTCCTTATTTGAGATTTGTCGATCCCAAGAACGTTCTGACACACGAACACTTAAGCTCTATACCAATAAATCAGTATCCAATAGTGTTAATGTCTAACTTCAACCAATCCATGAAATTGTGTGACCATCTACTAAGGTAGATATTTGTCTTTATCCGACATAGATTAACTCCACCAGTCACAGTTTGTCACTAGAATTCTAAGAATTCCCTTTCATAACTAATCACTAGTAAGCATATAGTATAAATCTGAACTACGAAACCAAGATATGTCAGTGTCTATCTTGTTTTAATTTAGTTTATTCTTTATTCATTTGTTGTCATCATTCGTATGGTGAACAAATATGAACTTAATATAAACCATAAGTCAGTCAGTCAGCTACAACGTAGGTCCAGGCACATATATGCATCGGTCCAAGTTGCCATACCTCATTAGCACAACAAGATGGATACCGGATTCATACAAGTAGCTAATGCAGAGGTGGTAATATATAAAAGAAAGATTTCAATAAGGATATATTGCAGGAAGAAAGAAGCAACCGAGCTATACTGGCCAGAACAACCGTTCCTCAAGGTCCTACCATGTCAGACAGGTCGGTTGAAGAGCGGTAAGACTAAAAACAACAAACCTAAGGTCCGAAGGCGAAGTCGTACTGCTGACTGTACACAGGTGTGACAGCAGTAAGGTGTTTCCTTCAGAAAACCAGCATGACAGCGATGCTGCCTTTCCACGAGGAGGGGTGGGGTTAGAAAAAGTCGACCATAAAAATGCACACCTCGCCTTATCCCACGGATATCAGTCTCCGGCGGCAAGGTCTCAACAAGCACGGAGTTAACACGAAAATTGCCCATAAAATGGTCGTGTGTGAGCGACCTCAAGCAGTTGTCTCTTGGGCACTGCGGTCACGCTCTCAGGTCACTAAGACCACCTCTAATCCAATTTCCTTTTCAGGCACCTCCATAAACCATAAGTAGTCGACATTGAATGGAAGAAATAGAAATACATTACATAACATTCACTATATTATTGTCATGAAATGTCATATTACATCATCGTCAACGTTATTACTTCTTCTCCTTCTTCTTGTTCATTGAAGCACATGTGATGATTTAATTAAACAAATAGACAGTTCATATTCATAGATATAATAGCATTGAAAGCAAACTATAAATCAACTTGAATACGAAAAATTATATAATCAAATAGGTTTAATGAAATGAAAGCAAATAAGACACATAAAGTGTGTGTGTGTGTATATGTGTGGATGTGTGAGGGGGTGGGGGTGGGGGTGGGGGTAGGGGTGGGATGGTAGAAATACAAAATGCTGATAATTACATTTGTTATTATTATCAAATTCAAGATAGAAACATTATGAAATAGTAAAAAAAACAACGAGAAGAAAAAAAGAAAAGAAAAGCACATGGTGCACTATTGAATGAAGGGGGGTTATGTTATTTTTTTTATTAGAAGATATGGTCAGTGACCATATGAATGACTGATGAGAATGACAACCATGGTGATGATGATGTTGATGAGGATGATGAGGATGAGGATGAGGATGAAGCGGAAGGCAATAGTGATGACGTCATACAATTGATGAATATATTACTTAAAAGAAATATAATCAACTGATTAAATGTCTATAATTTGATAAGCACAAAAACTGTATTAGCTAACTAAGCATTAAAGTATAGATTTAGTCATAAAATGCATTAGCATACATTGCTTAGTTTATTATGTAAGAGATAAACAAGCAAACTTGATTGTGTTGAATACTTTCTATTGTATACTTGTCTTATAATCAGCTGATCAGACATTTTATTGACATTCATAGAATATTCCATGCTGTTGTTGAAGTTTCTATTATTTGCTATTCTATTCCGTTTCTTTTTTGGCAGGGGGGTAAGATGGGGTGGGATGGGTTCTTCATTCATTTTCACTACCAGTTATAATATTGTAGGAAGCTGTAAAGGAAAAGAAAAAACAAAACAAGAACATAAATAAAAACGAGTTAAGAGATCATTATGATCATTATGGATACGCACTGCTGAGGAGTCTCACAATATGATAAAACGGCCGTCCAGTGCTTCCAGGTTTCCAGTGGTGGTCTGACATTAATCGGTTCATGATCTCAATCAATAACCTAATAATCTCCACAACGCTATACTGACATTATGAAAATGTTTATTGTTCAAATAAGATATAAAGAATGTCAGTATAGGATCGTAGAGTTCAATACTAAGATGAAATAGTCATCCAGTGTGTTATCTCCAGACGAAGAATCAATGAATAGTAACCGCAAGGATCTATTTATGGACCAATATGATATGAATATTCTTATTGTATGACCATTAAGTAACTAGTTTATATGTATATTTATGTTCCTTTTATTATAAGCTCACAATTGACCTAATAGCTACTGTTATTTGACTTACTATTCATAAGTTACTCCCAATTTATTAGTTAAAGTTCCTCACACTCACAGACACTTTTGACCTGGTCTTGCATAATATTTTGTTTCAGTTTATGGTATGATGCAGTCTGGTTTGTTTGTATATAAACCAGTTATGCCTGGAATACAGGATTCATATAATGGGGGTTAATATTAGTGTTCTGGACTAATCCGGATGGGTTAGACGAGAATCTACTATCTCACAGGACCAATATGAACACAGAGTTGACTGTAGGTTGCTCGTACTAGATGACGCATCGTTAGTTTAACACAGGGATATGGTCATCTAAGTCAATGTTCTAATTGGTGTGATACTTGACAGGGCTTCGGATGTAACATATAGACTTTTTAAAATAAAATATCACGTATATTAACAGAGAGAGCTTCATTTAAAGTAACTATACTGTGATAAATTATTATGTAACACCATCAGGTACAATTCAAGATGATTGATTGCTTTCACCCGGTTACAGTAGATATACCGAATGAGCTATATAAATATATTATGTGTAATGTATTTTCAGTTTATTATTCATCGAAGTTTCAGAGTATATTAGTAAAAGAAAAAAACTTAGTATTATTTGCTTGTATTTTACCATTGTTGTTCAGGACTGCGATTGATCAGTCTCTTGTTGGCAAATGTAGATCCTGTCTGGATTGCCTCGATATTACCTTTGGTAAATTTAAACTTCACCTCATTACAGAAGCAGGTGGTTACCAGGACTCAGTAGCTTAGTGGATGATGCGATGGCGTTTGAAGCGAACGGTATTGGGTTCGAGTCCTGGATTGAACATCAACTACAGGTATGAGGGTATATACAGTTGACGAGTCCAAAATAGGACGGAACGCGCATCCTGAATTCCACTACTAGCTACCATACATCTTTGCTTATAAAACTTATAATAAAGTGGATCTTAGCGTATATTCATTAGCCTATACAGAATACCATCTAGAATTTTCCATTATCTCAATGAGATTTATTTAAACGAAGGCGATATTCTCGAATATTTGAGTTACCTGTTCTTGTCATCTATATAGTTCAACAAGTTCTCTACCTCCTTACTTGTTTTAACACATCACTATATCAGTGAATTACGTAATCTATTCAGGTACATTTGTCAAAAATGTAGAACCTTTCGTAGTACAAGTTACAAAAGGCCCAACTATAGATATCGTGGTTGCTGGCAATATACATCGAAAAGAATGAAGATTATACAGACATCGATTCTTGAGCAGTCAACATCTAACTGCTGATTACTCAATATGTTATCGTTAGGATTGACCAAGAAGTAAGAAACGGGAACTCTATGAAATTCTTTATACTGAGTATTTACTATTGTACCAAAAGAAATAATATTGAATGAAGCCACTAATAATAATGCTGTGATCTTGAGATGGTGGAGAAGATTTGTAGCTCAGGTGGATGATTTTGGTGGTGTTTTGTTCTCTGAGCTGGATGGTTTGGTCGTGGAGCTTTCATCGTTCGTCTGAACGACATCATCAGCACAAACTTCAGATTTCAGACTTCTATCTGAAGTTTGTGCTGATGATGTCGTTCAGAAGAACGATGAAAGCTCCACGACCAAACCATCCAGCTCAGAGAACAAAACACCACCAAAATGCTGTGATCTCCAAGGTTTTCAATTCTGGTCCTTCATTTGACTCTAAGTTATGTTGGATATCTAATATACGAAGGAGTTTTCAAATAGATTAAATTAATCATCTTAATGCTTCCTTACTCTGTAAATAAGAATATTTCATTGAAGTTATTAATAAGACAAACTAAAAAATAACTTAATATCATGAATGGATCGATGTTAGAGTACTATTGAAAACCTGGAGTGTTAGTGAAAAACCATGATCAGTAGAGTTCAACTTTGTCTGGCTTAAGACAATTACTCACTGAAGATAATGGTGTACGGTCGGCGCAATATCGTGAATTGGTGGATATTAGACATTAACAACGTTGGATACCGGCTCATTTGTCTGAAGGTTAAGCGTTCGTGCGTGACACCGAAAGTTCTGTGTTCGAATCCCACATGAAGGATCGTGGATACTTCCTGCTGAAGAGTTTCATACTATGATATAATAGACATCCCATGCTTCCAGATTTTTAATAGTAGTCTCACATCTATCCATTCATGATATCAATCTAATCTCAACAAACTCCATATAACGATCCTTTTTAAAGTCATATGCTAATTCGATAAAGAACATAAAGACTATGATTCTCCTTTTAAAAAAATACAGAACATATTACGTAATGATTCTATGAAATAATAATTTATTAGCCAAGTTTCTTTTTTGTTCTAACGTGATATAATGGAAAGATGAAAATTACCAGAGTACACGATAGTGTAACTCATTTATTTCCATGTTGAATCAAATTAGCCATGATTAAAGTTGTAAAAACAAAAATAAGAAGGGAATATTAGATATTTGAATCAGGAGCAGAAAAGATTGTGTCGTCAGCTGTAAATTTATTAAGCTATTTCACTTTCATACTTGCTTAGTTACTTATGTCTGTTACTCTCAATCAGGCATAGGCTGACGAATAGAATTCAATCAATCACTCTGTTCTGAGCATTCCTTTCTAGTTCTATCCAATTCTTGTTCATTCTTCTTATGTCTATCTCCATTTCTCGGCGTAATGTGTTCTTTGATCTCCACTTCTCCTTTATTCAACCTTGACGATTCCAAGTGAGGACTTGCCTTGTGACTCAATTGGGTACTTTTCTCAATGTGTATCCTATCCACTAACAAATCTTCTTCCCGACTTCTTCCTCCTCTGAAATCTGGCTAGTTCTCTCTCAAAGTAGATTGTTACTGATAGTGTCTGACCAACGGATCCGAAGTATTTTGCGTAGACAACTGTCGATAAACAATTGTATCTTCTGGATGATGACTTTCGTAGTTCTGCAAGTTTCCGCCCAATACAGTAGAACTGTCTTCACATTTGTGTTGGAAATTGTGACTTTGATTTTGGTTGGCAGACAGATATTTTGAGTTCCAGATTTTCTTCAATTGTAGATATGCTGCTCTTGCTTTTCCAATCCACACCTTCATATCTTCATCCAGTCCACCGTGTTCATTAACGATGCTGCTCAGATATCTGATGATTGTTACATTTTCCAAATCTCCTCCATCAAGTGTGATTTGATTGATGCAAGTTGTGTTGTATCGGAGAATCCTGCTTTTCCCTTTGTGTATGTTGAGACCTACTGATACTGAGGCTACTGATACACTGTTCGTCTTCTCCTGTATTTGTAGTTCCGTGTGTGAAAGAACAGCCAGATCATCTGCGAAGTCTAGATCATTCAGCTGCATCCTAGTTGTCCACTATATCCCGTACTTCCCTCCCCCAGATATTGACGTCTTCATGATCCAGTCGATCATCCGGAGAACGAGGAAGGCTGAAAGTGAGCAACCTTGCCTGACTCTGGTCTTTATTTCGAACTAGTCTGTGAGCTGTCCTCCATGCACGATTTTGCAGTTTATTCTATTATAGGAATTCGGTATGATTTTGACTATATTCTCAAGCCGTTTTAGTGACCCATTACTTTGACGGCAATTCGATCAGACGATGTTATCGATGGGCTTACTACTTTTGTAGCCCTGTATTTGACTGTAATTAGATTGTAGGAATGATTGTTATCGAAATAATTGCTGTCCAAATATACATCATGACTATGCTCAATTATATAATCATCCACTTAAATCACGTTCGTGAATAACGTAATTGAATAAATCAAATACGAGAATAAGTTCCAAATACGTGTATTCTATTTAGTCGTTAATTCAGACAATGGACCGAAGAAACAAAGCGAAGCGAAGAAAGCAAAGTGAAATGACGTACAGTAGAAAAGACGTGTAAGCCAATTCCTTTTAATCAAGCGTTAATCTATATTTATAGTCATACAAATATAAGTTACAGACATGTGATAAGAAGTAGGATAAGAAGTGAACACATACGCTTTTTTACTACTTACGCCTGTTACTCTTCGTGGAGGAGCATAGGTCACCCACCAGGACATACACACACATACGCTTATGTAAAAACAGTCAAAGTTGATAAGCGATTAATTAATAGGCTAGAATAAGCTATATGGGCTTGCATAGCACTACACCATATTATTACTATTATTATTATTATTAAATTACTGTAATGATTATGTAACTCATTCTAATTAGCTGATTAGTCTTTGTATAGTGTAACTAATTTTTAATCAGTAAGATCATTTTAGTTAATGACAATTTGTTAATGAGCAAGTTTAGTAGAGCTTATTACGTAATGAAGAAGTCTCTATCCTTCTAGCTGAGGAGGAAATCAGGAAAAGACATTGGAAGTGGATAGGATATACATTACGGAAATCATCAAATTGCATCGTGGGTCAAACCCGAACTTGGAATCCTGAAAAGAAACGGAGAAGAGGAACGCCGAAGAAAATACTACGTCGGAAATCAGAAGCAGACATCAAAAGGATGAATGAGAATTGGAAAGAACTGGAAAG